GAAGGACATTTGGGCTTCTATATGTCTCATGTCTGTGGATTTAGAATTACAATTTAAGGGCTGAAAAGAACCCTTGAGGCCCAGGTTTCCTCAAACCTTGTGGCTGCTCATGGGAATCCAACTCTCTGGTAACAAAGTTGGCATCATCCAATGATTCATGCATTGCAGCAGCTTCATTCAGTGTCGCTGAATGTGGGGTTAGTGGATCATGATGATTCTGCATGGGATCTACTAAGGGGGGAGTTATTTGTAATCCTTGAGGAACATGTTGGTAAGTTCCGTATGGGTCTTGTTATGGCATGATGTGGAGATGTTTTTAGGGGTAGACATGTGGCTTTCTTCATCACCAAGAGCATCTGGATTTAAGCTGACCTGCACTGGTGATTGTGCAGGAGATCCTTTTCTTGCCCCATGATTTGTAGTTCTCTGTAGGGGATCTTAATTCAACTTTCCCTTGATTTCTACTGAGACATCTCCTCTTCTTGCTTAATGGAGCAATCTTACCTAGAGAGCTTGGTGATGATCCAGATACCAAGGTTTGACTATGTGGATGCAGGGGTAGAATGTCCTTTAATGAATCTATGGTTATCATCGCATTTTGTAAATTTGATTTGATATCAGTCAAGGTCCTGTATTAAGTTCATTCGCTCCTCTTGAGAAGGCATAGTAAGAGGTTGCATCAAGTCAAATTTATCTCCCTCTTTTGGCCTGATGGATTTTTTCTGAAGAATATTATGTGGAGCAACGTTATCAGAAACGGGCCTGGATGTATCCTCCCATTCTTCCTTGGCAAGCTTCCCAGGAGTCAGAAGGGGACAGGCACAGATATTTTGAAATACTCTAGTTGGCACAATTCCACAGCTCTGTAGAAAATGCTTGAGTCTTAAGAACATTTGGGTAGTACTGGTTGTTGAAATGACAGCACAAGTCTCTTAAAGCCTTGGCAGTGTGGAAGCCATGTTATCTCTGTTAGTTTGGTCACTGTTACTTTACACCTAAGTAACTGTGACAGAGATTTCAGGATGTCCCTTTTTGTATTCCATCTTTGATTATTTATGTGGATCATTTCTATATATAGCATTACTTTCCTCAGTTGAAGTATATATGTTTCACGTGGTCCTTTGGTGCTAAGCTTTGAATTTTGCATATCCACCGTACGAAAGTATGGTATAGTGCTCATATTCTTAGGGGGGATTTTCTCGCCATATTGCCATTTCTCCTACTAGCATTTTTATTTCCTCTGGCTTTTTGTTGGCCTCCGTTAGTTGATCAAATATAGATATGACTGTGTGGGCAGTCAGTTTTTTGCAACTAAGGACAGATCTGCATTCACCTCTAATAAGTTGAAGCAGTTGAATCTGCTTCATTGGTCTCAGATTCCGTTCCAGCTGCTTCTCCCTCTTTGTCTATTACAGTTAGATCCTCATCAGAGGATAAGAGCTTGTCAGAGTCCCTGTCAAATAAGGCATGATACTTATCAATTGTTGATTGTTGGGGGTGCCAAGTATGCAACATGGCACCCTTAACAATCAGACAGATCTGCTGATGGAGAAGAAAAGGCTAAGATGGGCAGTGTGCCTGAGACCTGAAAAGATCAAAATATCCAAGCCTGCTTTATTCCATTAGGTTGCTGAGCATTTTTACAGGACACACTTCCAGGCATCTGTTGATATTGCTTCCAGCTCTGCTGCTTAACAACCAGCAGTAATAAAGAAGGAATTTGGATCTGAAACCAGACCTATGCAGAGCAATGTTTGGAAAGATTAGTTTGACTAAAGGTAGTCCTCACTTAACGACCATTTGTTCAGTGACCATTTGAAGTTACAGTGGCACTGAACGAATGGTATTTACCACCAGTCCTCAAAATTATAGCAATTGCATGACCCTGCAGTCATGTGATCAAAATTTGGCAGCCCTCCTGCATTTATGACTGCAGGGTATGCTTCAACTGCCCCCATCCACCTGTCTCACCCCATCTCTGCCCTTTTGGCTGCCCTGCACTCCACCACCCCTGCCATCCCCACTGCCCTGCACTCCACCCTGCACTCCGCTGCCCCTGCTGCCCCCAGCTGACCTTTGTCATCTTCTTTCTCCCGTTGCTGATGAGGTGCACCTGCCTGGCCATTCGCAAGGCAGCTGCTGGCCACCCAAGGCCTTCCCAGGGTTGTGGGAAGGGAAGGGCCAGGCCAGACATTCCTCCTCAGCAGCGGGAGGAAGAAGATGGCGAAGGTGAGCAGGGCGTGTCAGGGCGGCAGAGTGAAGGGCAGCCAAAAGGGCAGAGATGGGGGGAGATAGGCAGGGGAGAGTTGAAATGGAGGCGAGCGTGGCAGGGCAGGAGAAGTGTGAGGTCCTCACCTAACAGTGGCACAGTCTTGGCGTAATGACCGCAACTGGGACTACTGGAACTGTTGTCGCTAAACAGTGTGGTCATGTGATGTTTCACCTAACAATTGCTTCACTTAGTGGCAGAAATTCCGGTCCCAATTAGGGTCATTAAGTGAGGACTACCTGTATTGCAAAGCAATAATCAGGTGCCTAGAAGGTATGGAGAAACTACTGTCCAGCCCTAATTGAGTAAAAAAAAGCTGACTTAACACAAAGAGCAGCGCCAGAAGGATGAGTTCATTTCTGCACTGTGTTTACAAAGCTCTTATTCATAGGGAGGAATGATTTTCCTATAAATGATGTAAAAAAAAAATCAATAGAGCATTCGCTCAAAACAACTAAGCACGACAGTAGCAACAGGAAAACACTATTGTAAGTGAAGTGATAGCAGCCATAACATCTAGAAGTGGTAAAGGGGCCCTGAAGTGTTTCTCTAAGTCATCTTACAATGAGGGCTGTGCAAACCCTTCAGAAGTGGTGCTTTGCCAGACATGGGAGTATGTAAACAGCACTTCTCTGCAGATTAAAACAGACCATTTTTTTTCCCCAGGCTCACACAGCTGCTTTGTGAACTGCTCTTCTGCAGCCCTAGATATGGCCTTAAGAAACAGGCTTTGGAGGCTTATTTTTATTATGCTATTTATATTCTATTTGTGACAGTATATTCCAAGGATACCATAATTCATTGATGGAACATATTTTGTATTAGAAAAATACCATCCTGTAAACACTAGTCTGTGTTGACTTGATTTATACATACTGTTTATAGTGGTAGGGCTGACTGTGGTCCAAATCTTATACCTGTGGAGTTGTCTTAATAGAAATCCCTTCTTGTTTTCTTATGAGTGTGTACTCGCAGACACACACATGGGCAAATAAAAACTGTGTCCATTTCATACTCTGTTTCTCTTGATAATATATTAACAGTTGACACCTATATGTATTTATCAACAGCGAGTTCCACTAAGCTGGGTTAATTACTGAACCAAGATCAGAATGAGTCTTCCAAGCACATGCAAATTATTCAGACCTCCCTTTGTGCAAGGTATGATTGAATTGAAAAACTGGGTTCTCAAGAAACTATGGCTACCAACATCAAGCCATAGATTTAATTATCCTGTAATCCTAAACTGGTAAACATATTTTCAGCCGTTGCATTACTCTGACTTTCTGGGCTATCTCAGAAGATGATGGTAGATGAGACACAATAGTGCCATTATGCTGAAAATAGTCACTATGGGCTAGCACAGTATTGCATAGAGGTGGTGAAACTAAAACTTGGGCTATGCAGCATTTTGGATTTGAAGACAAAAAGGTACTTTGGAGTGCAGGGGGTGCAAATGTGGCACCTGTCTGCAGCTCCGTAAACCAAGTGCCTCTTTTCCTGGGATTGTAGTGGAAATTAACCCTATCCGTTAACTGTGTTATCACTGAAAGGTAGCCGAATAGAATGTACAGACAGATTTCAGTTGCATCTTGTAAGGAACTATGCTAGTTCTGTTCTATTTTCTTCCTGCAGTGACTTTGGGAATTACATTTAATCTTCTATAAATCAAAATATACACTTTTAAATGCAGAAGAAGGTTTAACAATCTGTCAGCTTATTAACTGTTGGCCTGATCTGCAGAACACATTATGCTAGGTCGTAATGTGATTTGTTTGGCTGGCATAGAGACTATGATCTGAACTGGCTCCTGGTTCTTTTCCAGTCCCAATTTGAGACGTCACAACTAATATATAAAGGTTTTTAGGGCCTGGGGCCACAGTATCTGAGATAGCACATCTTTCCATACACTCCTGCACATACCTTCAAGGTCATCCTCAAAGGCCCTGTTGAAGGTACTCTTCCATGTTGAGGTAAAGCCAGTGGTAACCCAGAAGCAGACCTTCTCAGTGGTAGCCTTAACCAATGGCTTATTTTTTGGCTCTTTTGTACCAAGCAAATGTCGTCTTGTTCTCTGAGGCCTTTTAATAGGTTACTATTTTAACATTTTATATGTATTTGCCTATTTGACCTTGACTGATCTCAAAAAGACTAAGCTAGGTCATACCTGGTTAATGGTTGGATGGGAGACCAAGAGAAAATATCTTTGCTGAAGGCTATATTTGAAAGTATAAAAAATTAACCCAAAAAGAAGAAATGGCAAGCCGCTTTTACAATTTTGCCAAGAAAACTGCATGGCTATGTTTGTGTAGTTACCAAAAGTAAAGCTTGATTCACCCAAGATGTGTTGAGTAGATTGTTAACTAATCTACCTGCAGTTATATTTTTATATATTTTAAAATTCTGTTTTAGTTTATAGGTTTCTAAAAATACAGTGTAATTTTAATGTGCTGTAAGTTGCCACGAGGAAACCCTTTTTTTTTTTTAAAACAGCATACAATTTTTTAGAATAAAAATGAATAAATAAATGCAGCAATTATAGCTTGTAAGCCATGCTTTATGGCTAACTGTGAATCATGAACCCAGCTAAGTGTGGTTTATTAAAAAATAATAATTAAAAATAAGGCATGACTTCCTTTGATACTTGAGCTCAACTGTTCCTTGCTCATGTAAACAGCAGCGATTAACAGCATGAGGTCATTTGAAATGGTTTATCCATTTCTTTTGCTAGGTGGAAATTCTTGACTGGAAGACAAAGCAACAGCTCTGCTTCCTGGAAAAGGTCAGTAACCATAATTTTTATAATCACATTTATATATCACTTTTTTAATAATCACATTTATAGATCACTTTTTGAGTGCTCTGAGTGTTTTGGAATTTTTTTCTCAGTCAGCCATAAAATAAGCCTTCAAGCTAGATTAGTATAATAGGTGGCCCTCCCCTAATTACATCCTTTGCTTCCCAAAAAAAAAAAAAAAAAAAAAAATCAGAATATCTGCTTGCTTCCTAATAGAAAGTTTTCTGTTATGTAGGTTGAGCCACACACTACAATAAGTGAAATCCGGATGATGTTCCACAAGATGTGTGAGTATCTACATTTCAAAGTTTGTTTTAAAAATGATGTCAGTGCTTAATTGAATTATACATAATTGTGAGGAGTGCAGATAAATTCCTAAATGGCATAAGCTTTCTCAAGGTTCAGATAATAATTCTTTCTACTAGTTGCAGAAAGTTTAAGCCAGCTTTGTTCACTATGATGCTCTTCAGATGCATTATGTCTATAGCTTCTCCCTCCCATTGCCTTCCAGAGGTTAGACCCATGGCTGTCCCATGGCTAGACGACATCAAGTTGATGAAGACTAGCTTAGGACATTTTGGATTGAGATAGCAGTGCAGATCTTGCAAAGCTCATTTGCAGAAGCAGAAGGAAGTTCCCTGAAAAAATCCAAAACATTTGGTTTGGAATTTATATATGTTTACCATTTATATAATTTGTATTTATACTGTTTTTATTTATAAACATATTTATATATGTTAACCATTTATATTATTTGTATGCCACCCAGTTTGCCAGAAGTGTTGTGTAACACTTTAAAAATCAACCCCACCAAAACCAGACAGCCAAAAAGTAGAAAGAATGAGTAAATAAGTGATTTGCATGAATTGATATTTTTATAATTTGTTGAGATTAAGTTGGAAGCTCAGACTGAATAATTGGAAGGTCATGTTTTCAATTATGGATTTCTTTTTTCCCTGTAGATCCTCAGTGGTATCCAGCAAGACAATCTATAAGGCTTGACCCTAGTAAGTATTAACTGTGTGTGTGTGTGTGTGTGTGTGTGTGAGAGAGAGAGAGAGAGAGAGAGAGAGAGAGAGAGAGATTAATTTAAGCATGGAGTTTTCTCTAAATCAAAGCAGTTCATTCACATTACAGTCTTAAAATCCCTTCAAAAACTAGTTCTATGCTAACAAGTCTAGCTGGTTGCAGAAACATTATATATTAACTCAGCATTTTGGATTCTGTGAAGTGAGATCTAGACTCCTGCAGCCATAGACGGAGCTGAGGCAAAGTAATCTTAGAGAGACAGGGAATCAAAATGAGAAATGTCTCCTCCTGGCTGCTGCTCTCCTTCTCTCCTCCCTGCAGAGTAAGAAGAGCAGGGCTATTCAGCAAAGCTCCAGGGCCATCTTCTTATGAAGTAATCTTGATCCAATTATTGAGACAAAGCGCTAATAGGAAATCATGTGTATAGCACTTTTTGCTGTGATTTTTTTTAACACCTTGGTTTCCCAAGACTAGACTATGAGCTCATGCTTTGCATACAAAATGTTGCCAATATATAGCCCAATGTAAGAAATTGTGATAGCAGTCCTGAGAAATATCAGCAGAGAATGAAAAAGAGGGAAATGGCTGCATGTCAGAGTTGTTGATGCAGATTAGGTGGGACCATGATCTGCTTAAGTTTCATGTATATTGACAGTTTCATGTACATTTATGTTACATATTTTCCCTTCCTACTTCTTCAAATGCTTCCTTTCTTTTCCTTCAAATGTTCTTAAATGGAAGAAAGGTTTTGATGCCAGCCAAGACCCTCTGAGGTAAATAGGAAATAATAGCTTCCTGTAGAAAATGCAGGCATTGATGAGGAATTGTGTTCTGACATTAAATATTACAACTTTTTCTCATCCTCTCAGAAGGAAAATCTCTGAAGAATGAGGAAATTCTCCAACTGCTCCCAGTTGGCACAACTGCTACTCTCTATTTTAAAGATCTAGGGCCGCAAATTGGATGGACCATGGTGAGCCTCACAGCTTGATGTGCTTTAATTAATTGCTGTTTTACCTCAGTAATATTTTGCATTACAATGTTATTTAGATTTTTCTCCAGTACAAAATGGTAGAACCCCCCCTTTTTTTATTTTCTAAACTTAAGAGATGGTGGGATGAAGGATGCAAAGGGAAAACTATAATCACCACAAAAACTTGGCAAGCAAGCCCATAGCAACGCAGCACTGGTTGCTTGGCAACCTGACAAAACCCAGCTTGTGTAATGTCTATATTAGGGGATGCAACAAGAAATAGGGAGAGGATGCAGCCCTCCAAAATTAGGGCAAGAAGGAAATCAGTCATTTGATCCAATCCCATGGAACGGTGCCATCTTTGGTAGAACAGAGGCCATTCTTCTGACATTTCATCTTTGTCTTCTGTTCGCTGAGTTCAGGGCCTGCAGAAACTAAACAGGTAAAGTGTTTCCTAGGACAAAGATGCAGTGACATGACCCTTTTATGTATTGGCTTTCTGCCTGTCATATTTGCTAAAAGAACGAAAACAAAACCTGGTAGGGGAAAAGAGGTTTTAAAAAAGAAAGCACTCAAGTGAGAACTATAGGCTGGTAAAGCCAGGATTTGTGGGCAGAGCAGGCAGTGTTATAATCCAGAGTCCTCCCTCTCCTCCTTATGTTCCCTTTTGCATCACAAGCACATTGCTGCCCAGTCTTTGCCAGCCTGGCAATTTTCAGATTTGTTGCCAAATCATGAGACAAAATAGAAATTGATAGCAAACCAATGATTTATATGTGGAATCAATATACAAAATACAGTTCTGTGATTTAAATGAGTTTGTTTTGAGTCGTATTGCTTATAATGACCACCTACAAAAGCTATTTTAATAGGCTGTCTTCTCTAACCTGGTTTTTATGCACTGGAGCCAATGCATCAGTCACTAACATAGATGGAGAGAAGGGGTATTAATATTTCATTTGTTTATCCCATGTTTGTTTCCCCTCTCCCGTAGGAACTCATTTTAACTGATCAGGATCCCCTGAACCTCATACTGAATTGGAGATTCAGCCCTCTGATTTGACACTCAGAGTCTAACCATCTAACCATGCTGGGTTCCTTATTAAGCACTACTGTTTCCAGTTGTGCTAAAGGCAAACCTATCACACGTTCCAAAATACTGTCCTGGTGTTTATACCCTAAATACAAGCAGCAACAATTCACAAACGATGAAGACAGTTATGGAAAATGGAAAAATGAAAACCTCAGGGAAAAAAAGCAGAATACTTTCTAGACAGATGGATCTGCTCAGCTTCTCTTCAGACCAATACATTCTGGAATAACAGTTATGTACAATCCTCTCATTTGGGTGCTTTGTTTTGATATCAACCCCTTCCTGCAGAAGACATTACTGAAGCAAGGAGCTGCAGAAACCATTCTGAGCTTTGATATTCATTGATTTTTACATTTGAATTGTATGAGTTCTACCTTTCCCTTATCTTCTCCCCATCTACATTAACCTTACAGGGACCAGAATTGGGATGGGGTGGGGGATGCGAACTGAAAAAGATAATGTATTTAGAATCAGTGAGAATATGTGTGCTGGGTGTTGTACCACTACAGAATTCCAGTATACTGTAGAGGCAAATTTTACATAGTACAGAAAAAACTACCATGGTACAGCAGTGAAAACCTATCAAGTTTTAATATAGGCAGGTTATAGTTGAATGACGATGTAAATATAGCATTGGTATATTCTTCTTCTTCTATGATGAAGAATAGTGAGATAAAATGTGTAGCTGAAAGCAATTATTGTGAAAGATAATATTTCGTTAAAAAAATTAACATAATTTACATATGTTCCTCTTCTTTTCAGTGTGACTAATCTTGACCTGTTGTTCCTTGAAGCATCTCTTTCCTTCCTATTTAGCCCATTGGCTATTCCCACATAAATAAATGAGAGTGACTTTTCTCTCAGCAAAAATGCATGTGAGAAGTGGGAACAAATAGAAAAAGAAACCATTGCGGTTAAGTTAATCCAATTATAGAAGAAAAAAGTGGCCTAGTAAAAGATCTTCAGGCTACAAATATGGTGGCCTGCTAAAGGAGGACGGTCTGTCCTCTTCTAGCAACTTGCCTCCTTGTCACCTATGGTGATGAGAACAGGTAAGTGCTTAAATATAAGACTGGATACACAGTTCTCACCAGCTTCTGTACAGTCTTCTCTCCCAATCTCAGGGGTTCAGCTCTAGCGACTGGAGAGCTGCCTGGCTAGTAATACAGAGCATATTTCCATTACAGATTGAATTCCTCTCTCCCTGCTGGCCTCCAAACTGTTAGATCCTAAGGTTAATTTGGTAGATTTCTCACATCCATGGGCCTTGGGGAGCTAAAATGTTGGTCCTAAGTGTTGGCTGTAGCAAGTGGTCATTCAGCATCCATTCTGATTGGGAGAACTGCATGCAGTGTTGATGGAGGGAGCGGGGCTATGCTTCACCTTTGCAATATTCCATGCAACCAAAGGTAATCTAATAAGCTCCTCTCTCTTTTGCAGGTATTTCTGATAGAATATACGGGCCCATTGTTCATCTATTTTGTGTTTTATTTCCGTATGCCTTTTATCTATGGCCTGGATGACAGATTTACTTCGAGTCGACATCCAGTAGTTAAGTAAGTCTCAATTCTAGGTTGGAGGTGTTTATTTTGGGGTATCACAGCTTTATTCCAAATGTCTTGCCCAATTTGTCTTTTTAGTTTTCTGAAACACTTTTATCTTGCTGTTTCTAGCTTGGCATGTATCTGCCATTCTTTCCACTACATCAAAAGGTTGATTGAAACAATATTTGTTCATCGGTTCTCCCATGGGACTATGCCACTGAGGAATATTGTTAAGGTAAATTGTCACAAAATCTACTTGCAGCCCTTATATGCAATCTAATCTGGCCCCTCCTGCAGTACTATAGGAGCCCAGTTTGTGATACAACTTTGGGCCATGGTGCTGCTCTTCGAAACAAGGACATGTTCTCTGTTAGCATTAACATCTGCTACTGAAATCTGCCATTCCAAATTATTGCTGCAAAATTTGGGACTGCAATATCCACCTATCTTTTTTCTTCTAGCCAAGTGGGAAGGTTCTCCTTGAGAGTGGCTTTCCTCTTAGGACATGTTCTCCTGTTAAGACAATGGAGTGAATGGGTTTATTAGAATTACAGGGGCTCTACTTGACATGACGCTTGATGTTGGCCTGCAGCTACCTTGACAATAGCATGGTATAGTTTACAGATTTTTCGTATGTACTCCTACACTTCAGCTCCATCTGTGAAACTTATGGAATTTCTGGTTCATTGAAGTGTTGCACACTTGCAACTATCCTTTTGTAGAAATATTCTGGGCTTAGGGCTGTCTGCAAAAATGTAACATGAGGTACCTTCATCTGGGACTGAACCACTCAGAATACTTGTGAGGAATTGATTTGAATCCTTTGCCATGTTAAAAATTCCTTGAAGGTGGAAATAAAATACAATGTAGATTGGAGATAAGGCTAAAATCCTCCTCCCTTGCTTTCTGGATGAAGAATGTGTGTGTGTGTGTGTGTGTGTGTGTGTGTGTTTTATTTTAAGTGGCAAAGTGATCAATCACATGATCTCGTTCTAAATTACACTGGGCCAAAATAGTTGTATTTTGAGATTGTTTCTGAATTTCTAATTTGATCCTTAAATTAAGTGTTCCTTTGGGCACTTCTGGAAGTAGTGAATGATTTAAGAAGAACAATGTAGCTAATAAATATACTTACTGTTTATAATGGTGAAATGTGATTTTTAAAATTATTTTGTCTCTGCATTTTACATGTAGAACATTTATTAGATCTGAATTCCCTGTTTCCTTCTGGAGTTCAAGGGGGTATACATAATAGTCCTGTAATTTTTTTTCTTATAACATCAAATTGTGTGGTAAGTTGAGCTAAGAGATGGTTGGTGGCCCAAATTCATCCAGTTAAGCTTCTATGGCTGAGGATTGACTTGAACCTGGGTCTTGTTCCAATATCTTAACTACTCTACCACACTGATACAAACATTGCATTTTTAAAAAGTATAATAGGGTGCCTATGAAAATTGTCATCCATATGGATTTTGGACTTCTGTGATTTTTCTGTCCTTTGCTGTGGTGGGAGATGCACAGAAAATAATAGATGTTGACTGTTCTCATATATAAAATATATCCAGACCATACCATTTGTAAATAGTTGCTAGTTTCCACTTAGTTTTGGATATAGGATTCTTGGGAAGGGAATACAGTTCCAAATGGAAAACCCTGTGATCCTAGCAAAGATGTAATCATTCTTTAGGGCTTTAAGTGCTCTTAGCAGGCAGTTGCTCACATTAAAATTTTTGTTTCATGACGCTGTGTCTGAAGAATGAACTATCCAGTGGCAGCTGGCCAGTTCTTTCATTAGTTCTTTCGATCTCAGCTGAAACAAAGACCACTTACAGTAGAAGCTGTTACTATTTGACCTGGATTATGTTCTTGAAATAAAACATGCACTTTGCTTGAATCTAGTTGTTTGCATTAATTAGAGCATTTGCTGCTGAATTCTGTTCAATGCAGAGAAGGTCTTCAACACACATTTCTCTGCCATTGGAGAACATCAGGATTAATGAGGACAACACTGCCAGTCTCCAGGGATGGCTTTCTTCTGACTGTTTAGATTATTGTCCCAGAGCACATGATGCAAGAAAATGCCCTTTTAATTTTTGCCTAATTAACACTGTTAAAGAGATTCTGTTCTCCGTGTACGTGTGGTCTGTAGTTATGCAATATTTACAGACCACGTTATTTGCAGGACCGCCTCTTCCCAGTTGTTTCTATCAGTCCATTAGATCCAGCAGGAGAGGCTTAGCTGTGGGTCCCATTGGTCAAGAATGTCATCTTGTGGGACCCAGGAAGAGTGCTTTTTTTTGTTGCTATGCCTGCCCTTTGGAACATCATTCCCCCTGAGATCCCCCCTGGCCCTGCAGGCTTTTTGGAAGACTTTCAAGACATGGATGTGATCCTGAACATGGAGATCAGATTGTTAGTTAGAGCCTGTAATGTGGTTGTTATCTGTCTAGATTGGTTTGGCTCCTTGGCTGTTGCCTATGTTTTATTTTACGTTGTTTGTTTGTTTGTTTTTTAAATGTTCTAAGCTGCACAGAGTCATTATTGTATATACATTGAGGAAATAAATAAATAAACAAATAAGGACCTTTTTGTAGCCTTTCCTAAGCAGGTACTTTAAGGATGCATTTGGCTACAGTTCCAATCAGCTCCAGTCAACAAGGGAATTGTCTGTGCTGGCTCAGGATGGTGGGGCCTGTAATCAAACATCCTAAGAGCAGTTTGGGGAAGGCTGAAATAACAGTATGAAGAGAGATGGAATGTTTTAAGATCAGTAAGGATGGTTTGAAAGTGCCTCCACAACATCTGATGCAAGCAGAGTGTTTTGTGTTACAGAGCAGAACCAGGAATTACAGTTCTGCAAGTTTTAGTACAGTTGGATTGAAAAGGGGGGGAAATGGCTGTGTATGGCATCAGTTAAAAGTGACCTTATAAACATGCTACACCTGTTTTCACCTTCAGATATGAAGAAGTGGGGAAAATAAATCAGTTTCTCTTTAAAAATGTGAAGAGGCAAAAGTCTTTCAGATATAATTTTTTCCCACGGTACTGCCATTTTTGATTGGCAGTAGCCATTGCCAAATAGCTTCTTAATTGGGGTTTCTTCTATGTCAGTAGTATTCAGCAGTGTTCTGTGGATGGGGGGAAGGCAGTGGGGGTCAGACTGAGGAAAGCAGCTTTGCGACGTGAACCCCACTCCCTATCTATGTGCGTTGCAGCATCACTCATGCCTAAAAGGGGCAGAGCTTGCTGCATGATAGTGAAAGCAAGGAGAGACTGTACAGACCACTGTAGTATATAAAGTTAACACACATTTTGCTTTTCTATTTCCTCATTTTCCAATGGTTCCTTCTCTGTCTTTCTCTATTCACCACAGGAGGGGAGATTTCTAACCAATATAACATTTTTCTAGATCAGCTGTACCAGGTTTATTTTCCTTTGAGGTCACACTGGTACTTTAGGTTGTTGTATAAAAGGCTATTTATGCTGGATGAACAATATTATAACAGGCAGTGGTTTTGTCTTTTAGATCTTTGTTCTATTGGAAGAAGAGGTGGTGGTGTACAAATGAGACGTGAGGTCACTAAGTTGTTTTGGCTTGTGTAGGATTATATCTTGGCAGCCTTTAATCAGCTGCACTCTGGCATAAGATTCATTTCTGGGCACAATTAAGATGCTGACATTGAGCTTTTAAGCACTTCTCAGTTTGGGATACTGGTACTTAGGCTGTCTGCCATTCATTTAATCTGTGCATTCCCCAGTCAAGGCGCAGTCTTATGGCCCCTGAACTCTTGATCTTAAACTCTTTCCTCCCAGCCTCTACAGTGAAATCCATGGTCCCAGAAAATTCCAAAAGAGGTAGATGGAGCAGAGGACCTTCCCTCAGCTATATCCACAAATACCAAGAAAATGTAGAACTCAGAAACTAGTTTAAGTTTATCCTGTTCCATGGAATGATCTTGTTTGTTTACACAAGCTCACGCATCCTTTTATATCCTGCTAGTTGAATTGAGATCAAGTCTCTGTGCTGCAAAAGTAAACATTCTCACCAGTTTTAGGTTTCATCCACCCACAGATATCCACAGGCTCCTACTGCTTTTGTCAATTTGACACAATTAATGTTACATCATCATACCCTAAGCTCCACTTGTTTTGGACATTTATGTGATGTCACAATCTACATACAAAAGGGATGGGGCTTACAGCACAATGCTGATTTTATCAGACTGATCCCTTTGACCCCCCCCCCCATGGGTGCTACTGTATCCACCTACTTCCTAAACCTGTTATCTTAGTGAAATGTTAATACTGGAAGATCCTGATGCTTGAATTTAACAGTGCCGCTATTATGTATAGATAAACATTAGTGCAGGGTTTTTAAAGTCTGAAATAAGCAATAGTATTAATTTGCTTGAAGAATTTAAGATCTATAATTGAATAAAGTGAATAAGTGCCCTACTTATTCTTTTATAAGTGAATAAAATTGCCCTACTTTCCATCATAGGTTTGAGAAGTTTGTGCCTCTAAAACATTCTGTATTAAAACTGGGGACCATTTTTAGTGAGCTTACTTCCAGAATGTTATAAGTATATTAGAGAAAGGTCTATATTTTTGAAAAGTACTTCTGTGAATGTGAGATAAGTGTTTTTAAGCAATTAAATTACATATACTGTTTGAAAATCTCTTTTTTATATCTTGTCATATAAACTATTTTTGGCAGTATTAATACTGTAAATGTTAGGAAATAATAATTAACTATAATTTTTGACCTATACTGCAAAGTAGACTAAGAGAAATGGGAAAGCATAATTTGTTTCTTTGCACTTCATTCACAGATATTTCTTTGGTTTTGTTTCACTCAGGAACAAAACAGTGGGAAAGTTCTGAATTACATTTGAGTTGATAAATATAGCGTTTTTCCCCATTCAAGTGAACGGTAGCCAATCACTTAACTGAGAGAAAAGTCAAGTTGTAGATTCTGTTAGAATGGGGAAAAGATAATTCCCCTATATTTTGCTAATATAGCTTGAGAACTAATTCTTTGAATATGCAGTACCTGCTGACATTTTATTTGTCTACATTAGGATTAGAAAAATTTGAACGGAGGACTTGGTATCCACATGGGTGCACACATTATATATTTTCAGTAGGCCTCTTTAATTGTAAAAAATTAACACAAATATAAATGGATTGTTTTACAGAATTGTTTCTATTACTGGGGATTTGCTGCCTGGCTTGCTTTTTATATCAATCACCCTCTTTACACGCCACCATGTAAGTAGCAAAATAAGTCAAAATCATTTGAATGTTTCATTCAGCTGAACCTTCATAAATATTTTCTTCTGCAGATTATGGACAAAAACAAGTCAATTTTGCTCTGATCATGTTCCTGGTAAGTGTATTGCAAACTTTAAAAATATGGTAAGAAACATACATAATTGTATTGTCAGTGTCACAATGAACAGACAAATATTTTAGTCAGAATGATCCTGTCATAGTATTGGAATGTTGGTGTGATGAACCTAAAATCTTGCCAGCAACAGACCAGGTGTGAGCCAGTTTGGTGTAGTGGTTAAGGCACCAGGCTGGAAACTGGGAGACCGGGAGTTCTAGTCCCGCCTTAGGCACGAAGCCAGCTGGGTGACCTTGGGCCAGTCACTGTCTCTCAGCCCTAGAAAGCAGACAATGGCAAACCACTTCCAAAATCTTGCCAAGAAAACTGCAGAGACTAATCCAGGCAGTCGCCAGGAGTCAACACTGACTCAGAGTCACCAAAAAACAAAACAAAGCACCAGACCAGGAACTCAAGGCCATAGACACTTTTATTTCTCTGTCCTCTTTCTTCTTTTGATTTTACTTTCGTTCTCATTGCAGGCAATGAGAGAAAACATCTTTAAGGCAGTTCTACATCAGATACACATTTCCTATGTATTAGGTGCCATAGTGCCACACTGTAGCCGCTCTTGCTTTTTGGTGTTTTTTTTTTCTTCCTTTCAAAAGCTGGTTAGAGGTGTTAGGAGAGAGAAATTGAGGTAGTAGTTTATCATTTATTTTTACAATTTATATCTGCTTTTCTGCTCCCTGATTTGAAGAAACAAGCATTCTCTTTATATTTTTACACTTTGCAATAGTCAAAGGAATAGGTATCTAAAGTACTTTTCTATACATTGTATAAGAGATAGAGTGCCATCTTGGAAAATATGTTGCAATCTTCAAATAAATTAAGAGAGTGTATTATGAGTGCATATGTTTTGAATTAGAAGCTTGTCTTGGTAGAGGGCCAGTAGTGAAAAAAAGGGAGGAAAGAGAGGGGCAAGGTGAAATAATAGATGAAAATAAAAGAACAACGCTCTTAATAAAAGAAAAATATTGTGTTTTTAAAGTGAATGCTTCACAAAAGAGGACACTGTGATGTAGTGGTTATGGGTTGGATTGGATTGGACTGGACTGGACTGGGGAATTTTTTCCATTTGACCAAGGAGTGATTTTCAGTCACTCATGTTTTCTCAGCCAAACAGCGTTATTGTGAGAATAAAATTAGGGTATACCACTTCTATGTTTCAGAGGACTCACCTCCAAACAGTTCGTTATTGGTGTGGCATCTTCAGTGTTTATGTGGAGCTTGTCCTCTTGTATTAAAAAGCATGTGTTTCAGAGGCCACACAATTTCCGCATAGTAGGATGTTGTTTCTCGTAATTCTGTGGATGTTGATATACCACTAGCAACTTCCTGAACTAATTTACAGTAACTGGTATGTAATTAGTACACCTTGGTGGAAACTAGAAGCTCAGAACCCAGGATACAGTTTTAGCAAGGCCACTTGAGCCCAGTCCTCTGATTTTTTAGAAGAAAATTATGGTCAGATAGGCATTTTAGCATGCTATTTATTTAGTTCTATTTTTAGCTCACTTTCTATCAAAAGGGATCCCTTTTGGTTCTCCACAGAGAGCTAGCCTAGCTTTTCTCCCTGCACTGGGCCTATTCTGTGATGTGTATGTTTTTATCAATATCCTCAATTATGTGTTACGTCTCTGATTTTGTTGGGTTATTGTGGTTTTGTACTGTATTTATAATTTTTAAAAAAATTACCTCACCCCAAATTGTCACAAGTTGTGAGAAGTGCAGCGTTATAAATCTTTTGAATTAAGAAAAAAAATAAATATGAATTAAAATGAATTGTTAGCATGTTAACAAGCTTCAAGTGAATAACTGAATGGTTTCTTTCTGTATCTTTACCTGTGTATAACATTATAGATTTTTGGAAGCTTGTCTAGTAACTTGTGTATTTGCAAATATTATCACTTTTAGAACGTTCAAAGGAAGAAAACTTACTTAAAATTTGTTAAATACTTATGGCATTTTTACACACTTTTTAATAGATTCCAAATAGGGGCAATGAAGAGTCATCCAAAGAAGTATTTTCTCTGGGAGTTAATCAACAATGCATTGTTCTTAATTCCCTAAAGCAATAAAGGATTTTATTTTTATGCAGAAACAAGCTTTTGTGTGTTTCTAGAAGAAGCATCTGGGTAAATCCCATATGAGTGCACAATTCCAGTGCCCAGCTGTTGAGTGGATCAGTTGAGATATAGCATGGAGGTTGACAGTGGAGCTAGAAAAGTAACTCTTCCTCTGATATTGAATAGCTGTCTGACCTACGTCCCAGAGCCATAGACAATGCACATACCTTAAGATGGATCAGGCTCTGCATAGATAAATTAGATCTGAACTTTTGGTCTTGGAAGTTTGGGGAATGACCTAGGAGGAGGAGGACTTTCATCCGAATCAAGTGTTTGTAACAATTTGTCTTTAGTCGATGCGCCAAAAAAGCTGTAACAAGGCAGTCTAGAGGTACAATGATGTAAACAGAAATTAGATTCTGCTTTTCAAACAGGACAAAGTAGATGAGATTTTAAGGAATCCTTCCCTAACTCGTTTCTTCCAGATGTGTTGGGACTCTCTGTGAATTCACTGTCAGTATGGGAGCCCAATCTATCTGAAGTGCACCAAATGGGTCTGTATGAAAACTAGCTCTGTTGGATTAGGAAAAATATATTTAGAACCCTCCTATTTAAAACTGCCTATTCTTTCATTATTTTTATTTTCATTTACTCTCTCTCTCATTGCAGACATGTGAAGCCGGAAACTTTTCTATCCATGTTACACTTAGTAATCTGAGAAGAGATGGTAAAAGCTGAGTGTTTTGCTTCTAATTAAATACTGTTGAGGTTACTTTTGACTTAACATTTGCATGAATAAATGAATAGGTGAATAGGGTGATCTTACAAAGGATCTCTTCAATCTTGCTGATCTTAATATCCTACTGTGGAAAGTAGGATGAGAGAAATATGGTCTGTAAGAAAATGTTATAGTGTGGAACATTCCTGTGTTGGGTTTTAATGTCTTCCAGGATACTGTATTCTATCCGTTCTGCATCTCCATTTTCCCCAAGAGTAGGCATTATTTGTCCAGTGAGCATGCTTACTTGTTAATAGGCTCTTTTTTTCAGTTTCATATTCTGCCTCAATTATGGGGGAAGAGAGCAGTTTCCTTATCTCTCTCTGACTGAGCTACCTCTGATCAGTGTACTATCATTATGGTTGAGGGAACTGTGAGGCTCTCAGCCCTTGGAAGCATAGGAGGTTTCTCTGAACCTGCTTGTAGGCCTTCCCCAATCTTTGGCTGCTTGTCTTCAAGGGATGGCAGTGGTGGGACTACTGAAAGATAGTCAGTATCTTTCAGTAGTCCATTAATACTGTAAAATGCTTTGAGGGTATCGAGATGTCTTTGTAGGGTGCCACAATGAAAAAGCAGGTGAACTATAGAATGATATGAGAATAATAATTACATCTGGATTATTGATGCTACCCCTCCAAGCCTTGTGCTAAAGGGAAATATTGTATGTGTGTATATATATATAAAAAAAAAATTACACAAAGCAGAGCTGATAGTTTTAAAATCTTTGGATCTTTCAATTGATAGGATCCAAGACTTGTAAGATCCCTTATCCAACGAAGAATCCTTTCACGTGGCTATTTTATTTTGTGTCATGCCCTAATTATACCTATGAGGTAAGTATCTTTAATCATCAGAGAATTTTGTAAGAATTAGGTTTTGTTTGATGTATATATGCTCAGCATTGCTATAAACACACTTACTAAGAAACACTTGAAAGCTTCAATTGCACCCTAAAATATGTCCCTGTATGATAAACCACACAATTCTGTACTTTGCAGAGCATGCTCAAGAGAAGCTTTGAGAAGGGAAACTAAGAGAAAAATGAATGCAGAATCATAGCCAGAGTAAGCAATAGGTGAAACTGCTGCAAAGTGATTCTTGCAGATGAGGTATTACCTCAGATTTGCTGCAGTTTCAAGGACACTGGGGAAAAAAAAAAGGATTACAGTAGGATTTTTAAGAACTGCAAATGGAAAGAACTACTATAAATCAGTAATAAATTGGAAATGTATGTAAATGGGAACATTTGTGGAAAACAGATCATGTAACTAGCCTTCATGTTACGTTTTCACATCACACAGAAGCAGCTTAGACAGGTAGTTTTCTAGTTTATTTTATGAGGGGTATTTGAATATTCTGCCTCAAGTATTGAAATACAGCAAGCTATTTTAGCTTCACACACTGTTTTTCATTAAGACAGAGGAGGGCAGGAGGTAAATTTTGATGCACTAGGATATCTCTAGATGATTTTGCAATGATTTCTAATTTCTAGTAATGTAACAAAAGCAACCAGAAATTGCCCACTTTGCTATAGATTATATAGCTAAAAAGAAGAGTATTTAGCATAATGATTAGAAGTGAATTTTTATGTTAATTGTACTGAGAGAAGGGCAGGAAATTATTAATTTTTTAAAAATCATCATTTTATTAATTTTAAAATTGCCTCCAGGAAGGAGATTCCTAGCACTACCAACTAAAAGGTTATTCTGTTTTGTTTCTGCAGTTATTGTATACTGTATTCTGCAGTTATTCTGTTTTTGCTCCTTCATAAGCAGAGGAAACAATAGAGGAATTGATGCAAAAAAGGATCATTACAAACGGCAGGCAGTTCATATACCGTATTAACATTATCACCACCCCATAAAATTCTGTGACTGAGACATGCCAATTACACAATAAAAATCTCGAAGCACTCTGAAGTGTGTCTTTTTACCATCATCTTCTCAGAGTTCTTAAGTCTGCCCACCAATACTTAAGAACTATACAAGTCCTTTACTCATCTTAATTATCTTAGGTGGGAATTTTGTTCACATTATTTAATGGGAGAATCTTAAACCAGAACTTCATATATGTAGAAATGTGGATTGGGATAGCAGGAAAAAGTTTTGCTGTACAAATGAAAATAGACTAGTTTTAATTTCAGAAGGGGGAAGTATGTGCATTGTGAGAATACCGAGAAGGTCCTCCCTTCTTTCTCTATTGAAAATTTCATTCAAAAGCATTCAAATAGATTTTTTTTTAAAAGGACGTTTAAAATATACTTCTATTGGATTGTAATGCATATTCAAAATATTGGTTGTGTCTCTGTATGTTTATATTTTACTGCTTTTGTTTTACAAACTGATACTAAAAATAGTTATGTTTGGTTTTTTTTTTTTAATGTAAAGGGACTAGTTGCTTTTAGCAATTTTAATCATGTGAAACAGTTCTAAATCTTCTTGGCCATTACAGCTGGGAACATGGATTGGTTTTACTATCATGACTCAGTGCGTTCCAGGTGAATAGCATTCTTGGTTTTAAAATTTTGGGGTATTATTCTAAATAGAATATTTTATAACGTTGACCACTTTTCTATCTCTTGCAGTGGGACTGTTCACCTTGCTGTGTTTCATTCAGATGACAGTCTGGGCAAAGGACAAACACTACACTTATATACGAGAGTTCAAGGATTACCCTAGTTTTAGAATGTCAATCATTCCTTTCTTATTGTAAGAACAATATTTTCCCCCTTCTGAATTATAAGCAGCAAAATGGATAGGTCTCTAAGAAGACTATTGGCAAAGGAGCCAAGATATGAAGATAATTTAGGTTGACTATTTCAGATGCATGTTAATACTGTGCTACAACGAGAAATTCTGGGGGCTCAAAAGCCACACTTCCCTTTCTGATATGCAGTTTTAGCATTGACTCCTCTTTTTCATCTTATTGCCTTAAGGTTCATGAAAAGTGTTCAGATTTTATTGCAGTTTGATCAGCCAAGGTAACAGATAGTAGATGCTTTTGATGCTTCTTTGGGTTAGACTCTGAGGCAACAAAATCATGAGAATCTATATTGCATCCAAAAGAGAAAACAAAGAAGGTTGCATCAAGTATAAGATGCTTGCTGTAGTGAATAGTATAGGTCATTTATGGGAAATCTCTAGCCTACAGGCCTAATCTGGTTTTTGAGGCCAGCATGTTACAGCCTGCAGGCGCCTTGGCCTTAATCTAACCTACACTGAACCCTATCCCATCCCCCAAGGGCCCCTCCCACCACTGCCCTGCTAATTGGAAGCACATCCAGTGCATGGCTTTCCCAGGGAATGCCCACTATAGACAGTTGATCCAAGAGTTGCTTTTTGCTTAGCCCCAAAATGGAGGACTTACAGCAGCTCCAGCTAGTATGTCCCTTTACTGTATTTTCCTTGATTGGGAAATGTGCATGCTTGACATAGGCATCTGTTCATAACCATCATGACGCCAAAGTGACTTATCAAAATATGCATTGTGATATCACAATGCAATCTCCACATCTTCATACTTGCATAGTAACATTCCACAAAAGTACACAGAGAAAGAGCATACATTGCAAAGCACATTTCTTCACTCCTATCCCACCCCCTATGGACACCTATATATGCTGGACAATTACAAGAGCAACTCTCTGTTTTTCTTGGAGAAAACACACAGTGGAAAACTGTTCCATGGGATTTATGACTCCCCTTAGTCCTGGATGGAGAATAGTATTTTTCTCTGTTCTCTAAGGAGCAAAGTTTCTCTACTTTAAACTCCACATTTATTATAATCCATTGGGCCAAAGAGATTCAGCCCAGGACTGGATCCAATGCCCAACCTTGGAGTAGATGAACACAATACACAGAAATAGAGTTGGACCACAAAGAGAAGAAACAGTCAATACTCTAAGAATAATTATCTGATGCAGCCGTCGTGTGACCATACCAATCAGCCACTCAGAATTGGTTATGACTGAGGAAGCAATTAAGCCTAGTAAAATAAATAGATATGTAAGTTTGTGTGGAGATTGCATATACAAATATTCCCAATACAGATAGTCCTTGGGTTACAACAGCAATTGGGACAGGATTGTCATTGCTGAGCGATGCAGTTGTAAAGTGTGACATCACGTCACTACATTGCTTAGTGACAGCAATCCAGGTAGTCCCAATTGTCATAACCCCAAGATGTGGGTCATTAAGTGGGAAGTGGCAGGAGTCCCAGATAAGAAGCATGGGGGTGCCACAGGGGGGTGGGGAAGGCCTTGGGAGGCCCAGCACAGGCCGCATGTGAGTTGGGAGAGGGGGGTGCTTGGTGCGGCACAAGCGCAGGGAGGCCAAGGGAAGGAAGGTGTAGCACGGTGTGCAGGAAGGCGGGGGGGGGGGACATACCAGAGTGACTTGCGACCCCCCCCCCCCCCCCCCCCCCCC